CAGTACATTGCTTACACTCTGAGCAGCTTCAGCTGGAGCGGGCAGGGCAATAAGAGGCACTGTGCAATGGCAGGGTGTGAGCAAGGAAGAGAGTGTTTTGCTTTTATTGACTCTGCTTTTCCAGTTACAAAACATTCCTCTTATTTAAAAGGCGATTGTGATGGGGAACGTTTAAGGTATTTCTTAATATTAGAACTTCAGTTAATAATACTCTTACAAAGTCAAAAGTGTCTTAAGTACTCAAAGACAAGCTATAGTATCCAGGAGGGAGATGCTGTTCCTGAGCGTGTAACACAAGGTCACATACTGTAAATATCATTTGCTGCAATTGATTTTTTTTTTTTCTGCAATTGAAGGGCTGCAATCAAAGTTTTGTATGTTCACCGGGGGCGCGGGGCGGGACTTCCCACCATCCCCATCAAATTTCTGTTCCTTCTACGACCATTCCTAGATGACTGAGGATAGTATGGGCTGGCTTGAGATTTCTTTCCATTCATTTTTCAATGATGTACACTGAGAAGTTTATGTAATTCGAAAATCCAACATAGCTGCTTGCATAGTCCCTGTAAGTCGAGCTGGTGGCCATTTTTAGTAATATACAAGGTAGTGTCTGAGTTTCTTATTGGGTATAAAAGTCTGTCTCCTCCTCTTTGCTTGCAGTTGTACACTTTCATTACTATAAAAAGGAAGGGACTATTTGGATAAAAATGGGAAATGAGCTTATTATAGAAAAATATCTCTGCTATTCATAGAATCATAGCATCTCCACTATTCAGCATGATTTTCAGTGGCTTTAGACCTCCCCACACAATGTCAGTGGAGTGACGGCACATTACGTGTGGGGAAAGCAGCTCCTACATCTTCTATGGAGCTGGGGGTCATAAATCAGCTCCTGATGAAAATTTGTAAGAACCTAGTCCCTGAGCTCTGTCCCTTTTCACTGGCAGATAGATACCATGTTCAAACAGTGACCCGTGAACACAAGGAGCAAGAAGAACAGTTTAGCCATCGGTGCACAACAAATGAGCAGCTTCTTCCCGCCCCCAGCGAGCTGAGTGTTGTTATTCAAAACATACACCGCAGGGAGAGCTCCCTTCTCCGCTGCTGTGCTTTGGGCTGTTGAAGCAGTAAGACACCATCAGGTGTTTGGTTTTTGTTTTAATATTCTGTGTATTTGGATGCTCTTTTCTTGGGGTTTCTTTTCTTCTTGTTTACTTGGGATTTGCATGTTGAGGAGCTGGGGAAGAGGGCAGCTCAGTGTAGGGTTTACTGTGGAGTCCCGGTGGAAAGCTGGGGTGGAGCGGAGGATGGGGTTCAGGAGGCAGATGTGAAGCTGCCGTGTTCCCCTATGCCTGGCTTCAGCTTTCCCTGCCTCGCTGCTCCACATCACAGTCTACTCTCGTATGCACTGTGCCCAGTGGGAAAATCATCTCTGTTGTGAGAGGCAGTGTTTGCATGGAAATAGAAAGCCAAAGCAGGGAGAATGGCTGGAACAAGGAGCAATACCTGGCCATCACATTTCTGGATTTTCTTAGGGTTTTATTTCTTCCAGTGGTACGCATCTGCCTGCAGCACAGGTTGTCTGTGTTGGCCTGGACTGAGGGCTCTGGTACAATTCAGCTCTTCACTGTTCAGCCAGCAGCTGGAGAGAGGCTGTTGCTTTTGGGGAACCCCCTTCTCTCCCTCTTTGTCACTTTGCCAAGATGCAGAGTAAGATTTGAAAGCCCTCAAACTCTTTAAAAAAGAAGCCTTGCGCCAGTCTGTGGCCAAAGCCAATGAAGGGGAAAGTTCCTGATGCTGCGTGACTGATGTGATGAGATGCTGTGCAAGCAGTCAATGCTGGCTGTGCTGAAGAGGGGCCAGGGGGTCAGCTTTTAGGAAATAAGGACCTGACTGTTCAATGAACAACTGCACTAAATATTAGCTGAAGTTCACAAAGTCAGTGGAAGCATTCAATATGACTTCAGTAGGCTTGGGGTCAGCCTTTGAGTAGCTAGCTAATAGATAAGAAATTTGCAACGAGTATTCCAGCCAACCTGTATTGTAGCCTTGAGATCAGAAAAGCAATTTCTGTTTAGAAATAGCAGCCTGTAGTGATGTACTTAATATTTATCTTGGCAGTAAATCGGAAGGTACCAAACTGATGAAGTCCATTAGATTAAATCAAATGTAGAGACGTAACAAAGGATCCAGGCAATGCCAGAGGGTTGGAGAATAATACATAAAGCAAGAATTCTTCTAGAGATAATTACCGAATACCATGTCGTTTACTGGCAGCAGCACAAATTCATCTGGCTTTGACATTTCTGGGATTGTGTGGAACCATTTGGGATGGGATGCTGCGTGCTGGGTGCCCGGGTGGAGGGCGACTTTCCCTTGCTTCCTGACGGTGTGGTGCTGCTGCCTTGGACTTCAAATATTGTTTTCAGCTGGGGGCACTTTGATATGCACCACTTTGAGCAGAGCTTTAGTGGCTGGGAAGTTATATTTACAACCTCTCAGAGGAAATCTCAGTGGGGAGAGCTGCTGGATGGATAGGACATGGGGGAAGGGAAAGGCAGGGAACAGCATAGCGGGGAGGTGACTTCACAGACAGAGGCTTCCTGGAGAGAGAATTTGGACTTTTATCCTCAGGTAATGTGGAGACTCTAGTCTTCTAACGACCGTACATACCTCTGCTGTTCCTTGCAATATAGACCATTTCTTGGGCATGTTTTGACTATGGCAGTGTTTATATAATGCAGTGCTTTTGCAAAACTGGCGATGCTAATTGAAGTTGCCATTGACACAAACCAACTTCCTACCCCTGTGTAACCTTTGGATTCAGAAAAAACATAAAAAATCTTGTATAGAACTGTATTTTTCTTGCTGAAATCGGCATGTGAGTGCCTGGGAGACTTAACACAGTAGGAGATAATTAAAGACAGCCTATGAAACTGGATATTGTTCAAATTAACATGGAGTGATCCCTTGTTTATCAGCTGAGTGTCTTTGTCTTTTGAAGGATAAAACGGGAGATGTTACCGTGTAGGATTCATAAGCTGCGCCCTCCACATTTCCCAGTTAGAAAAGCATTGTCGTGGTTTAACCCCAGCCAGCAACTAAGCACCACGCAGCCACTCGCTCACTCCCCCGCAGTGGGATGGGGAAGGGAATCGGAAGGGTAAAAGGGAGAAAACTCGTGGGTTGAGATAAAGACAGGTTAATAGGCAAAGCAAAAGCCATGCACACAAGGAAAGCAAAACAAGGAATTCATTTGCTACTTCCCATGGGCAGGCAGGCGTTCAGCCATCTCCAGGAAAGCAGAGCTCCATAACACGTAACGGTTACTGGGGAAGACAAACGCCATCGCTCTGAACGTCCCCCCCTTCCTTCTTCTTCCCCCAGCTTTACACGCTGAGCATGAGATGACGTCATATGGAATAGCCCTCTGGTCAGCTGGGGTCAGCTGTCCCGGCTGTGTCCCCTCCCGACTTCTTGTGGGGTGGGGTGAGAAGCAGAAAAGGCCTTGACTCTGTGTCAGCACTGCTCAGCAGTAACGAAAACTTCCCTGTGTTATCAGCACTGTTTCCAGCGCAAATCCAAAACCTAGCCCCATACTAGCTACTCTGAAGAAAATTAACCCTATCCCAGCCAAAACCAGCACGAGCATGCAGAGAGATTATCCAGCATGAACATAACCATGTTCAGTTTTGCAAAACAAAATATATGTCTGAATATGCTTCTTTTCGTGTAATAATATGGATTTAAAAAAAAAAATATTCTGTGTCTTACCAGTGGAAGCGTATTCCTAACAAGAGCTGCATCCTCTATGATTTGGTGAGTGTGGGACCTCTCTGGGTAAATTGCTGGTATGAAGGAATGGAGAGATTTACCACTTGGTTATCCACTTATTCCTTCACCGCACACAGGATTTTTTTGAAAGTGTGAACTACTGCAAGTAGGTGAAAACCAATATATCCCTTTAGCATAACATAAAACAGAGGTTCTGTTATCCTTGGGTTCATTTAGAGCTTGACTATATTTCTGTCCTTTTCCAAGGTAGTGCATTTCTTTGGCTGAATTGCAGTTGCTCGCACCAGGACTGGATCCGTCTCCCAATACTCAGATGTGGGAGTTGAACTGAATTTTAAAAATTGAGGACAGTGGGAAACTTGAATGCAGTATTAGAAGTTCGAAAGGAGAGGGGGACAGTGCTTCTCCCCACACCCCTCCTGGTGATTTTTCATTTGAAAACCTGACGTGGTTGGAACAGATCTGTAACAGTTAGATTCTTATATTCATTTTTCCTCCTGTGTTTTCTAAAAGTTGTGTTCGGATTCAGTCAGAGTGTGGTATCCCTGCCTGTCTCACACATGGGTTTAGAAGCAGGAATATCTTTTTTTCATCAGGAGCTGGGTTTCTCCCAATTGGAGCACCCACCCAAGTGCAGCTGGCTGGGTGGGAGGGAGCAGTTTGCTTTTTTGATACCAAAAGTGACACACTGAAAGAAAATTCCTGCCAGTATGTAACACTTATGAGTCAAACCCAGATGCTGCATGGATTTTTTCTTTTGTCCCACTGACCCTTGCACAAGCAGAAAGCTTTTCAGAGGAGGAACACCTGCGGGTCCTGTGCCGGGGTACAAGTCTTGTTTCTGAACAGAATTATCCTTCTGCTCTAAGCCCACATATTGTCATGGGATTTTGATGTCTTCCTTTTTCTCATTTCCAGCCTTCTCCGGTGTGTTTAAAAACGCTAGCAATTTTCTTTAAAAGTCTAATCCTTCTGGTAAGTGTCTGCCCTCTCTGTTGTTAGGAGTGCAAGCCAGGCTGGGTGAAAGGTGTACTGTACCTGGGAATTACGTGTCCATCAGGAAGAGTCCTCTCAGGCGCCCGAGCGAAGGAGCGTGCGAGTCAGGATTTTAAAAGAAATGAGCTATTGGGTTCCTTTCTGTGCTTATAAGTGATGATGCGGTTTTATTGCATGACTGAAATGTGTGATATTTCTGTTGCTGACAGGGAAGGCCGCTCTAATGCTCACATTAAAGGAGATTACCAAAGAATCGGAGACGTTATGCTAAAGAACATCCAGAGTATGAAGGTAGGAATGATCCTATAACTATTAAGATTTGACACGGATTAACATTAGTGTGCTTTTCATTTTCGTATGATGTTGCCTCTTGTGCTGGTTTTTGCCAATTGTAATCAAGGCTTATGCTATAAAAGTTTCCTTTGATGAAGTAACGAGCGTTTGGTGAGCCCTGAGATTTCAGAATTGCAAGCTGATTTTAAACTGTCCAGCCCCTTTCCTCAGCCCACTCTCCAAATATAGGAACAACAAACACAAAAGTTCAGGAACATTTCATTTCCAGTTCTTTTTTTCTTTCAAATAAGAAGGCAAAACATGGGAATTTGTATGGCTGAAGAGACTGTTCAGACGCCGAGTGTGCCTACTCCCGTGTGCCAATATAAGTGTTAAGATATTGCAGGAGTAGTGACTGTAACCCAGATATTGATTTGATTTGGGAAACTTATATTTGTGCGCTGTGGTGCCAAGTTAGATGAAAGGTTTTTGAATACTTGCCTTTGACCCCTTTAAAGCTAAAAGCAAAAATACATGTATGAAGTGTAAATCTAGGTGTAACGTTCAGCGGGCTTTGCATCTGTTCTTAGTCTGGCCAGAGCAGTATTTTTGATGCTCTGTGTTACTGAACAAAGAGCATGGAAGGCAGGCATGGGAGCCTTTGAAAACCCTATGGACTTTTACAGTATGGATGGATCACACGCAGCTCCCCTTATTAATGCAGCTATGCATCCAGGTCAGTGTGTGGCAAAACATGGCACTGCACCTTTGGCATGTGGATCTCAAAGTGCTTTCGAAACTCTCTGACAAACCTTTCCTTGGTGATTGCCACTTCGGCATTCTGCAGTTAGTAAGTGGAGCAGCCTTGAGTCCTTGGCTGGAGGCAAGGGCAGTTTAATCTTTACAGCTCTCCTGAGAGGTTAGTTAGTACTAGGCTTATCTTTCAGAAGGACGGAGAGAGATGAAGAGAGGTTAAGTGACGTGCAAGTGATTATACAGCAAATCAGAAAGAGAATGTAGAAATCTTGGTTTACAGTCCCCAACACAGACAACTTTGTCACCAATAAGGCGGCCTTACCCTTTCTGACTGTACTTAGCAGGAACTGCTTTTTCCCCTCAAGACACAGTTCAGAGGCATTGGAAGACACGCAGGGGGGACTTTTCTACCTCCATCCCTGCTCTCAAGAAGTACACACCTTTTCACAGTTCTTGGAATCTCAGCTTCCGACAGACTCTGCTTCTGGTCTCGGTACCTTGCAACATTAAATTGTCTGTCCTTCACTGTCTGCAGGTCCTTCTGTGGCACTAGTTTAATGGCAGCGTACAGTCCTCACTGTAACTTAGGCCTGTCAGTGTGCTTTACGTTCGCCATTCTCCCTTTCCCGTCAGAGGATTTTGTTCTCTCTGCTTTGAGAACCGCTACCACTGATAAGCACAGATATTTGGAGGAAGGAGGCAAAGCCCAGTTTGACTTAAAGAACTGCACTGGAAACAATAAAGTTAGTTAAAACTACATATTTATCATGAGACCTGTTAAAAGACCTGGAAACTGTCACTCCCTGTTTAATTAACTTAGGAAGGAGGTTAAGAGCAAGTAATTAATGGGCAGCCTCTGTAGTAGTCCAGAGGGTCTGCTGTGTCTTTGCTTGACTTACAGGCTGGTAAAATGAGTATGCAGTGTATGGAGGAAGCGGCTTGCCTGTAGGGAAGGTGTATTTCTGGTAAGGATGTCACAAATCACAGGAGAGAGGGAGTTGATTGGAAATGTGTCAAAAAGCACGAGCTTTAGATTAAGCCAAAGCATCCTCTGAAGTCCTTTCAGCATCGCGTTCCGTTTCTTTTTGTTGCTGGTTAATATACTACCATGTACAGGGAGGCTTTATTTGGCTGCTCAGAGAAGCTCTGTGCATCCTGAAGAACCAGCTTACCTCTTCCAAAACACAAATGAAGCCCCTGTGTTAATTGTTCAAAAAAAATACTGCTGAATTGTTTTAAATGGGAATCGTGAATGCCTGGGATACTGGGACCTAAATGAAGTTACATATTTCATACAAACCTCATTCACTTGCTGGTGCATAACTCCCCTGCTGCCAGTGGGATCACCTTAAAGACTGCACTAAGGAGAAGAGGACGTAATCCAAGGATGAAGAACTCTAACATACCCATTTCTGTCAGACAGCTCCTCTGTTTTTGAATTTGATCGGATTCCCAGGAGATGCAACTTCTCATTAATAACAGGGGAGCAGAAGCTGGAAGTCCATTTGCCTGCATCTCGGTTCCCCAAAAGCACCTGAGGGAACTGGGGCAACTAAATCCCTTCATCCTCCTAGAAGATCCCATTTTGTTTCCTAGCTCTGCCTTCGCATTGTCTAGCTCTCTCGCTGTTGCACCTATTGCATGAGCTACGTTCATATCATCTCCTTGCCTTTGGATTTCTCACTGATATCCGACTTAGTTTGGTTTACTCATGTACTTTTGTTTTGCAGGGAATGCAGAGGGGGTGGGGGTGTGTACTTCAAACGAGTAATGCCGTTTCTCCTTTTCAAGTGAATATCAGAACCATTGTGTTGCACAGTGATGTTGTTTGCAAAATCCCAACTGCTGTGCTAGTTGGATGTTTTTATTGGAATAGGTTTGGGCTGAGTCATGTCTCACAGTGATTGCTAATGGCTCTACCACATGCTCTTTTCTTTGTGCACATAAGCAACTGACAATTCACCTGTGGAAGCACAATGAGATATTAATGGAATTGGAGGACGGGATCAAGAACTCTCGCAAGCTGGAGACCTTTTGCAGGGATTTTGAGCTACAGAAGGTCTGCTACTTGCCTCTCAATACCTTCCTTCTCAGACCTCTGCACAGGCTTATGCACTACAAGCAGATAATGGAGAGGCTTTGCAAACACTACCCACCAAGCCACATAGACTTCAGGGATTCAAGAGGTAAGAAAGAGAAAAGACACCAATTCCTGGAGCTGGGGAATGGCATCCAAATCCATTAAAGGAGCATGGCAGAACAAAAAAAAAAATAATCTTTTTTTTAAGCCTATGTTGAAAGAGGATTGAGATGCAAAATCCAACACCCAGAAGACCAGAAATGGTAGGATTAAGGTTGCTCTTGTATACATATTATGCCACAGTCTGGACAAGTACTGGGAAGAGAAATCTGCTGGGGGTTATTAAACACACAGAAATGACAGGCATTCAGGAAGCCGCTTGAACTGAAAACAGTTGGGAGGTTGGGAGAGAGCACAGGGAACGTACCATATGTGCTTGTTTTGTTCCTAGCTTTCCCTAGAGATCCGCTAGGAACACAGAATATTGGCCCAGGTGAACCCTTGGTCTGACCCGATATAGCTGCTGTTATTGTGTCTTTAGGTGTTATTTGTCTTTTCTCCAGACATACAATTTGCTCTGCTACCATTTCCATGATTTGTTTCAGGAACTCAAAGCTGCCAACGTGGTTTTTTTCCAAATGTGAAGAAATTTTCCTCCTGTAGTCTGAACTCACTCCCTGCTATTTCTTTTTGATGATTTGTTTTCCTCCTTTCTTACCCTCGTCTCCCACCCCCATTGTAAGCTATCTACATTTAAAGATAACTATGTTATCACTACAGTTAGCATTCAGTGCAGATCCATGGACGGAGCTGGGCAGGGAGCAATGCTCGGTATGAGTGCTCCCAGCTGTAAGGTGTTAGCTGAGTGAGCTGGCTAAGTTCCCTTAGATGCCGTGCGATGAGACCCACAGCAGGCAATGCACAAAATGCGGAGGTAACTTGACCTGTAGCAATAGGAAATGCCACAGAGGTCTGTGGCACTGAAGTGCTGCATGACACAGATGTTTGCCTAAATGTAGCTACTGCCTGAATGACCTCAAGGAATGCAGCAAGTATAGAATCATAGAATCGTTAAGGTTGGAAAAGACCCTTAAGATCATCCAACGTTAACCTAGCACTGCTAAGTCCACCACTAAACCATGTCCCTAAGCACCACGTCTACCCGTCTTTTAAATACCTCCAGGGATGGAGACTCAACCACTTCCCTGGGCAGCCTGTTCCAGTGCCTGACTACCCTTTCGGTGAAGAAGTTAGTGCCTTCATTTCTTTTAGCCAAGGCTAGATGATGAGGATGATGTGTCCATTTCCACCTCCCCAGAGAGTGCATCAGCCATCAAGGTTTGATTCCTGCTCCACTTTTGAAATGGATACGAACACAGGATTTCACAGGGGTGAAAATAAGAGAGCATGAGAAAGACAGTGTGACTTGGGGACACCATCACTCTGGGATCAGTGTCTTACTAAGGGGTTTGCAGATTTTTGTTAGAGGTCAGAGTGTAAAGGAAGCAGAAAAAAAATGGGAGGTGTGGATGTGAATCCCAGCAGAGAGCACAGGTCTCGCACTAACAGGTGGACGAACTGCGCACTGAGCAATGGTGTAAGAAGGAAGAACCGCTGTTACTGTTCCCTTGACTGTATTTTTTTTAACACAAATGGCTGTAACTGTTTTTCTAGCACCAAAGTCGGTCAGTCGGTGTGTTTGGCCCGTTCAGAGACTGCCCGTCCGTTTAGGCGTATCACGGTTGGTGCTCACATACGTAATGGCACAAGGAGCCAGTCCGCAAGCTGGTGCCCCAGAAAAGATCGAGTGGTGAAGTGATTTTCAGCTTAGTTCCCTGAGTTGACTCACTGCGTTGTTGGCGCAGCAAGAAGACAAGACATGGGACGCGGGTCGGCAGCAGCCTGCGCTTGATTTGGCTTCTGCTACCACAGAGTGGGACTTCGTAGTGTCTGCTTCCTTTTGTATTCCACCTGATCCTTCTTCACACAGCAAAAATCCCCTTCGAAAAGGGAGATTTTCCATAGGAAAATCACTCCCAGGTGTTAGGTCACTCGTTGATAGTCTCTTTGGAGAGAATGAAGTAGAGCCGTGGTGCGACTCGGCGACGTGCAGCTCTTTCAGTTGTTCTCATTACAGGGTCTGAGGGCAAACCCCAAGATTACTGGCTTGACGTCTGAGATGATACAATAAATGATGCTGCCATTTCCTGGTGTTTTCAAATATGGACCTGACCCAGTGTGTTGCAGGCTGTGGAAAAAATGCATTTTTTTTTCAAGCATAGAGAAGATCCCTAGATTAATTGGAGATGTAGGAAATTAAGTCCTTTAGGAGAAGCTGTTCATTGGTGCTGTGAATTGACTCAAGTATTCCTACAAAGTTCCTGTGGCTAAAATAGAGCAAACTTTTGGTTGAGGAAATAGACTGTCTCTACATTACAACACTCCACCCTCTCCCCTCCACTCCATAAGATGATATCCAGAGTTTGTGTGGTTTTTAGTCTGCCTGAGTAGTTTTACACTGTGAAGGAGAAGGGTAACAGAAGAAGGGCGATGTTCATGAGCTGGGTGCCGCAGACAAAAGCCATCTTTCTTTTTGAACGTTCTTGTGAATTTTTAAAAAGCATTTTATGGTTTTGTCCATCTAGCTGCTTTGGCTGAGATTTCTGAAATGGTGGCTCAGCTCCATGGCAATATGATAAAGATGGAGAACTTCCAGAAGCTGCACGAACTCAAGAAAGACTTGATAGGCATAGACAATCTGGTGATACCAGGAAGGGTAAGTAGCAGAGTTGTGATCGAGGTCTGATACAATTTCAAAGCATTAGGCGTGTTTTAGAAACCTGTTTCTTAGGAGCAGCTGTGAAAGTGCCTTTCCTCATGTGAACCACCAAAAACTATCAAATGTAAAGATAAGAATACCATAGAAAACAGCAGCCTTTAAAGTGGGAAGAAGCAGTCACCTTTATTACCTTTTACTGATTTTAGTAGGTTTATCTTATGTATAGGTTTGGACAGTTGTAGGCAATTCCAAACATCTGTTACAACAGAGGCAGTAAAAATGTGTTATTTATTACAGTGTTCAAAGCTTGAGCAGTTGCACATTTCCTCATTTCTTGCTGCCCTTAACTTTTTTTTTTCCCCAACCCTTGCTACTAGAGCATAGCAGATTAAAGGAAAGTAAGACATTTGCACTGGAGGACCTTCGGCCCTTTCATGATGCCTAGCTTTGAAACTCCTGGCCCTGGGGACAAGCAGTCTCTTTAGTCTACATGTAACGTTGGGCAATAATTTTTGAGACGGCATTGCCTTAAGTAAACACTTTTAATTGTGTTATTAAAATACCAAGATCTCTTCTTACTTGTCATGCTCTTTAAAAAAGGGCGGCTTACTTCAGAATAAACGAGCATCAGTGTAATATTTGTAGCCTTTGTTACTTTTCTAGGTGCACGTATCTGTGCGTGCAAACTTGAGAGCTGTCTGTTGTTGAAGTAATTTCCTCCCCGCTCCCCTGACTTTTGTGTGTGATACACAAAAACAGTACTTGCGGCAACTGAAATGCTGGGGAAAATGCAGCACTAGACTGTTCTCGCCCCTTACGCATTTCTGGGAAGCAGCTTGGAAAAAAAGATGAGTTTTGCATTGAACTGCAAATACGGCAGCGCCTGAACTTGCCCCACAGCCTGGCCACCCAGCCCTGGTGCACTCCTGCAGGCTGGCCGGGCCACCGCTCAGCAAGAGCCCCAGCCTGGGGTCTGCTTGCCGTGCCGTGCCCGTGGCTAGTGCCACAGCGGGGTCGTGGCAGAGAGGCAGCTTGCCGAGCTCTCTAGGGTCTAATTCATTTCAGGATTGAAACATTTAGAAAAAGAGGGTTGAAGTTGATGTGCCATTGGGAAGGCAGCACCGAGCATGGCTATTTCTCAATTTGTGGCTGTTCCCCACTCCCTCACTTTGCCTCTTCCCTGTCTCCCAAGCCGCTGCCACGGCTCCCGCCCCCCAAAGCCCCCTGCCACGGCTCGTGCCTCCTTCCAGTGATCCACAGACCGTTCAGTTCCCTGGCAGGTCCCGCAGGACGTTTCACAGCCAGTGCCTCTCTCTATCACATGAAATTAAATGCCGTCATCGGTTGTTTCTGCTACCCTATTCTATTTAAAGACAGAGCAGTCTTCCTCTGCTAGGAAGTTCAAGAAGAAGGCAGAGGAGGCGCAGAGGTTGTTTGGCTGCCAAGGCAAAAAGCATTGGCCACCGCGCTCCGGCACATGCCCAAGATGTCGCTGCTTTCCAGCCCTTTGGCCGCTCTTCTGACTCCAGCTGAAGTCCCTGCCCCGGCGCAGGGACAGAGCTGGGAGGCAGTGGCTGGGTTTACCCGAAGGCGGCTGAGCTCCATGTCTCAGCGGAGAAGTCTCCTGTTAGGCTGGTGATTCAGCTGTCCTAAAGGCAGCTGTAGGTAACCATCCTCTTACATTGCCCCAGACTGGGGCACCAAGCTGGTTCCTGTGTTCGATGTTAAAACGTCCCGTGGTCGGTTGGGCTTGCAGATTGCAATGACCTGCAGCTCTTGATTTGCGTGTTCGCATGGCGCTTGCCGTGGTGGTGCTAAGCCTGCTAGTGACCATTAGGTGGTACCGTATAAATAGTAATTATGATTAGTATTCTTTGGTGGCTGACAACAGCTTCCAGTGGCCTCTCTGGTAACACGAGCTTACCGTGATACAGGGATAACCATCTCTAGCCACTTTTTCCACCCTTAGGCAGTGCAGGTAGGGGGACTGGACACATCACAGCAACCCTAAGGCGACCGGAGTCTCTCTCTGAACAGATTAATCTTCAACAGCCAGTTTATTGCTAAGCTGCAGGTGATTCTGATACTTCATGTGCCTTTTACATGCACAATTATGAGTGGAATGACCCTTGAAAGACTGTAATAAATAAATATAAACCTCTTGGCAGAAGCTGGAGGGAGTGACTGAAAAAATGATATTTTCATGCGTTTCAGATAAGTGGAAGGGTGAGTTATGGTATAGTTCACATTAAGCCCAGGAAATCCGGCATTTTGAAAGTTTCAGATCTGCTACTTTTCCTATAAACATTTATCCCTAAGCACTCTTAAACAGTTTGATCTGAATTAATGTACTGTATTATACGACAGGGATGGTACTAGGATAACTCACACTGCCAGACAAATTTCCTTCTTTTTCTGCTGCTGCTGGTGATGTCGATTTGTGTAGCTGATTTTACATCTCAGTGAAGGGCTGCGTATGCCATACGCACAACCGAAGCTTACCAGTGGCTAACCGATAACATACAGGCCAACTTCTCGTTAGTTTTTACATCATTTGTAACATGAAAAATACTCATTCAAAACTGATGAAAGAGGGAGCTGTCTGAAGGAATCAATGTTACGTAAAGAAAATCTTACTTAGTTGAATTTTCTTAAAATGAATGAAAGACTGTGAAGGAGTTTATCCTAAAGACAGTTAGGAGTGGAAAGAAATTATCCTACAAATAAGATTTTTAACATATTTAATAAAGAAAATAAAAAGTCTTGGTTACTGATACTCAAGTCAGTCCTACGACCAAGTAGTCCTATTTATGTTTGGATAATTAAAAATCGTCATTATTTTTGCAGAAGATATGTATTTGTTTTGTATTTATTTCCCGCAGGAGTTCATTAGACTGGGCAGTCTTAGTAAGTTGTCTGGAAAAGGTTTACAGCAACGGATGTTCTTCCTGGTAAGAAAGAAGACGTTTTTTCTTTATATAATGAAATGTGACTGTAGGCAACTATTAGGCAAACTGTTAGACTCAAATTGTGAATTACAGTAAGTTTCTTTAAACATTTAAGTTAACATAATACATCCCCTATGTAACTGGTTGTTAAGAACTTCTGTTTCTGTCCAAACCCAATATTCTCTTCGTAACTGCTTCTTACAAAGACAGAACTACTTATTTTTATATGACACTGTGACTATCATGATAAAATACCTCCTAGCACATTGTCTTAAATAAAAGGAGAGTCATAATAAAATGGAAAGTGGCACCAGGGTTAGTGATCATGTCCAGACAAGAAGATAAAGAGTAACTTCTGGTGATCGGAACGATAATCAGAACCAAGTTTCTCCACAAACCATCCAGTTTCAGCCCACAAGTGCCCAGCATGTTGACAGATCTCCCTTTACCTGGAGATACTTTTTGGAGCTCTCGCACTAGGAAAGGTTATCTCCTCCCACCGTCCCTCGCAGCATTTTCAGGTTACGACGATCTCACTCGGTCTCCGATCTACAAGAGCCGCCCAGAGGGTTCTTCCTCTCTTTTCTTCCCGGCCAGCTGACTTGCTCCCAGGCCCCCCATCCTGCTGCTGCTCAGCCCTTGGTGCCGGGGCACGGGGATGCCCAGCAGCAAGCATAGATTTTTCTAGTCCAGTGTTACAGGGCAAAACATTAAAGAATCAGTGCAGTGTGGCGGGAAGACTTCCTTGGCTTCTTGCATGCAAAAGGTGAAGACAGTGGGTGTGTAGAAAAGCTCGTGAGCGTGCTAGGTTTTACGAGATCTTTGACCATTAATCTTTAAGATGAGCCAAAGATATAACCACTAAATCTGCCTGGGTAGGGTTATCCTCTGCCTTTGAAGGCACTAAAGAGGAAGCCCGATGAATACAGTGCATGTTTGCTTGCATACCACAATTCTTGTTCCGAGGTGATACCTCGATATTATACCCGTATAAAACATCAAAAAATTGAGACTGGACTCTCAAGTCAGTTGCTCGCATTGTCAAAGAAGTCTTTGGTCTGTCCTGAGCAACAGAATCTTTTTGGAGGTAAAATCCCGAGTCGGTGCTCTGGGACTCAGAATACATGTATAATCATTGGCAAAATTAAATCCCCCTCTAGTGGCCGATCCTCATAGCTTCATCAGGTATTGCTGTCGGGTTGGAGATGTCTTTGGGAGAGCTCTGTTTCACACCAGAGAGGATGATTTTCTTGAGGCAGCTGTCCGGTTTAAGGAAAAACATCCTTTGGCCCAGGCAGCACAGGGAAAATATGCCATTCGTATTACGGTGCTCAACAAAATGCAGGCGGTCATTTGACTTGCTTTTGACAACTGCTGTCACATGCAGGAAGCTCCACAACTTGAGATATTCGGTCTCTTCACCTTGGTGTTTCTAACCTAAAGCCACCTACCTTGAACCAGGTCTCCCAGCTTCCTTCTGGAGTAATAGATAGCCACTTACGCCCTAAGAGTTAAGTTGGACACACCTCTCTCGGGCATGCTTGCTTCTCTCTCCACACAAATCAGAAGAAAATATCGGTGAAACACACTTATCTTCCAGAGATTCAAAGTGCGGCAGAGCGTGAAACGTACTACTTGGTTTCACTGCTGTTGTGGCTTGTTAGTTCTGAGCCAGAGATCACAAAGGGAATATTAGAAGGCATCGGAAGATATCCAGTGGAAAATCGTGGGAACATGCCTGAGACTTACCTGGGAAGGAAGGCAGGGAAAATAACAGATGCTAGTACTGGGTACTGAAGTATTACGGAAGCCCGTATTTTGGATTCATGCATTAGGACTGCCATATAAATAGCCAGTACTGGCTAGTTTCCCGTATTTATCATTCCCATTTTTTTTTTCTACATGTGTACATGCGGACATAATTCTAATAATGCTTATTCTTGCTTTTTAGTTTAACGATATTTTGTTGTACACAAGTAGAGGCCTGACAGCATCGAATCAGTTCAAAGTCCACGGTCATCTTCCACTGTATGGCATGACAGTAAGTATGGTGAGAACTTACGGGATTCACGCTTAAACGGCCATTGGTGGTCCCATCGGAATTGCTCAATGACTTTCTGCTGGACCGAAAGCAGCGGCAAGGGGCCGTTCTCCGATTCAGAGAAGCTGTGGTTACATTGTGCAGTGCCTGAGGGGGCTGTCTTGGGTTCGCGTGTGTTCATGCAGCCTTCTAGACAAAGGTGATCATATAGCAAAAGCGGGGGGGAAAGGGCATTTTGGGGGCAGCTTCCTCATAATGCAAACTTCTCGTGAGATGGGTTCTTTATTTTTTTAAACCATAATTTAACCATGATTCTTACAAGTAATTCATCACCAATGGCTTATAGGCACTGTGCGAGACAAGTAAACAGTAGCGACAATATGATTTCTATAAAAAAAAGTTTCCTAATGTTTTCAGCTCTGTATCTTAAAGCTGAAGTAGTGGGAAACTGGCAGCAATAGGTCATTTGGAGCTCTTGTTGCAATTCTTCTGGGAAACAGCCAATTTGAGCCAATAGCACCTAGTTACCTCCTCTTCTTATATGATTTCAAAAATATTTTTGCTAGTTTCAAAGCACTTTCATTACCCCCATTATTTTCACTGGAACTTCTCATGGGTTTGTATCTATTCTGTGCTGTTTTCCTGAGAATTGAGTTAGGTAATCACAACCGCAGTAACTGAATTTCTCTAAACACCTGTGAGGCTTCAAGGTTTATCTAGCGTTTCTAGGAATCCACTCAGTTATTCATGTCGACTTGGCGTGGACTTGTTCCCAACGGAACTGGGTTATGCTGCAGTGTCCAGAGCACTCCCAGCATTTACCGTATCCGTTTGTACAACGAATCACTCTTCTGATAAAAATACAACTATTTTCCTTTTTTTTTTTTTTTTTTTTTGACACAAATGTTTTTTTTGGACACAAAGCAGATGAATCCATGCTTTTGGTTTAAGAGCTTATTGCAGAACTTACTGTTTTTCCCACTTGCAAGCCACCATTTTTTTCTCAATACCTAGCTCAAAATTATTGTTTGTGAACATTTCTCTTAGTTTTCTTTTCCCCGATGGCCAGAGCTTGTTCAGTTGACTGTTTCGCCGTAAGAGAGACGTACTTCCTGCAATCTGACTGCGTTTGGGCTTTTATCTCTCAGATAGAAGAAAGTGAAGAGGAATGGGGGGTTCCTCATTGTCTGACGCTACGAGGTCAACACCAGTCCATCGTTGTCGCTGCAAGGTAATTCAGTGGAGACAACACGCACACGTAAACTGTATTTCTCTGCAGCTTTCACAGTGGGACAGATAGAAAAGCAGAGAGGCATCATTTTGTTTGGATTTGCTCCTAAAACAATCTCAAAGGTATATTCTTTTGTGAAAGCCACTTGTTAAAAAAAAAAAAAAAAAAAAAAAAGGTGAATGGGACAAAATAGAGTGGCAATTGTGCGAGTCAGAACCAAAACTAAGTTATTAGGGAAAAAAACGTAGCATCTTGTGTCTGAATTTACTTACTTCAATGAAAAGTAAGCTCGGCTTGTGACCGTTTCTTAGAGTTTGCTTTCAGCCTGTGTGAAAGTGAATAAAACCTGACTTTTCATTGTTAGTACCCGCGCCGAGATGGACAAATGGACCGAGGACGTTCAGATGGCAATAGACCTGGCAGAGAAAAGCAGTGGCCCTGCCCCAGAGTTACTGGCTAGCAGCCCACCTGACAACAGTAAGTAAATGCTAGAGAGTAGGTTTCATTCACTTTCGTCAGTGTGATTGGTGATGGCAAAGTGGTGAAAAATGCTGGCCGCGGGTCAAAACGATACATTTGAAGTTGATTTTTTTAGATATATATTTATATTTATGTATGTGCCATTTTAATGTTCTTGTTGATGTTAGCAGAAAGTTTCACTGAATAGAGAAGTGACTTAAGCGTAATGATTCCAGGAACTATTTAGCAAGATTTGGGCAGTGCCTGTCCTTGGAAGGTATTGAAAGCACCAACAAAGCACGGTAGTTAGTCTTTGAGTCTAACACTTGCAGAAACACGTAAAAAAAAAAAAAAAAAAAATCTACTTAACATCTGCACAAAATTATTTCTAAAAGTGTGGTTTAGAATTAGTTCACAATATTGTGGACAGAATTGATTTGTTTAATTTTTCCAATTATATATGTTGTTGCATAGAGGAAGAAAGATGCTTTTTCCCTGCATTTCATAGAGTCTCCTGATGAAACTACTGTAGACCAGGAATCTGAGGACGACCTCAGTGCATCCCGCACCTCACTCGAACGTCAGTCACCACACCGTGGCAACACTACGGTGCACGTCTGCTGGCACAGAAATACCAGTGTTTCAATGGTCGACTTTAGTATTGCTGTGGAGGTATCTGCCTCAGAACGATCTGAACTGCAGCTCCAGACTCGCTCTTGAATGACAATTTCCTTTTTGCTCCTCCTTAACAAGTGCGCTATTCCGTTGTCTCCTTCTGGGGAAGTTTCAGGCACGCCTATTTAACTGACTCCAAACGATGGCATAAACCGTCAGTCAAGACACATGTATCCGCTTCCCTTAGTGCATCTTTGTAAAACCAGTCAGAGCAGTAATTTTCATAGAAGTAACTGTCCAAAAAAATGCTGATGCCCTTTAAAATTTAAAGCAGGTCAAACTGTCTTAATGCTTTCCCTTACACAGAGGCATTAAGTCATTGCTCGAGCTGAAAGGATATTGTCTTTAGCTGCTGCAGCCAGAGTTTTAATTATGTGTATTACTAACGTACTTTCTTTACCTAGCCATCTTTTCTGGAACCTTGTCTCATTGCTCAGTCTCATCTGCTTTTTCTTTATTTGCATTTCCCACCTCAGAATAAAAATCCTTTTCCCCCCCCCGATCACAGCTAAGCCAATTTGATACACATTCGTTAATTCTGTACTCAACAGACGAGATGCAGACATTGACTTTTCAAAGATTAAAATGAAAGACTCCTAGTCCCCAGAGTAGGTTTTAGGATGAGGTGGTAAGCCTGCTTAGCTCTTCTTCCTTCACCCAAGAAAGGCTCCAGGGAGCTCCGAGTATTTTATCAGAGTCCTCATCAAATGGAAATTTATGCTTAACGAAAACGGTAAAAAGAATCTTAAAGCTGAGTTGGCTTCTGCTTATGAGGCCGCCCTCAGACGTCAGGCCACCGTTGCTCTAGAGGAGACGCACTGATGCAGAACGTCAAGGTGCAAGGAGAGGCAATATTCATAGCTCCTGTAACTGCCTCTGGTTTTAAACAGAGGGGGAGCTGCTGAAACGTGGCAAGGAAAATTATTCTCTGCTAGAAAGGGCTAACTGTAGAGCCTCATTTTGATCCCATGCAGGGGGCGTTTCTGCTCTTTATACCCTTCCGTCCTGCAAGGGAGGAATGGTTCAGCATGGAACAAGGTCTCATATTTTTCCCTAAAGCAGAGGGCTTGTTATAAGCAGAGATAAAATTTAAACCGGTGACTAATTCTGACGATTAAAACACTGAGGCAAAACTTTCGGTCTGAGATCCGTGCTCGTTGTTCCTTATTTTTGTTCCTCCCCGTGCCTCAAATGAATGCAAACAAAGCAGCGAAGACCAAACACACCCTGGAGACATACCTTGTTCTGTGAAAGCATCTTCAGCTCCACTGCTGTCCCATGCGTGGCAGGTTACGCTCATGCTCGCATCATTCTGTCGGTGGCTCTCACTTCAGCATTATCGTTTATTTTCTTTGTGTCTCTCCCTCCTTTCTGTCTCTCTCGTGGTAGAAGATCCTCTCTCTGTCAGTGACTGTACTTCCCTACCTGCTGGACTGATCAGTGATCAGCGGCCTGTTCCCATTTCATATGTCTGCTGGTACCGAATGCAAAGCCTGTCCTTTTATGATATCCTCCAGAGTAATGAGGTAACAGAAAATTAAGGAGTACGCCTGTAACTTAGGGCAAGGAGGCGGCAGTCCAGATATCAGAGAATGGGATGATTTAAAGCAAAGGCTTTAACGTGTATCCAAGACTGGTGAAAACAGAACATTTTGAGCAACATTTAACTTGTAGCAGATAAATCAGGGCCACCAGACTTTGAGTATTAAGCTTTACAGACTAAGTTATTAGCTTCTGCATTATGTAAAGAGAATGATGTATTTTGATCCAGGTGAGAGCCCTTACAGTCAAGAAGGAATGGGAAGTAATGGTTCCCTGAGAAGTCCCCTTCACTTGCAAGGCACAGTGATGCTGGCCTTTACACCTTCACTATGTGAAGAGCAGCTAAGAATAAGGTTAACAGTCCTTGCTTTTGAAATCTTTGAAAAGTTACCGTGTGAACTCACTGGGTACTGAGAGCTCAGTCTCTATCTGCAATTCTAAAGTATGTCATAATTTTCCTTTACATCACGAATTCATGTCAGACTTTCTGTTTCCATTGCTCTATTTAAGTATCATTTGAAACCAACAAAGACAGACTAGGGTAACAAGGCTGACTGATGTTTGGTAATATATTACTGAAGGCCACCTCAGTTAAAAGAAATAAGCGTAGTAGCTTGAAGTTTTTGGAAGTACCCAGCTACTAACAAAAAAAATACGTTACGTAAAGTACTACTTAGTAGTAGAAAAATGCAGAAGAAAAGTACCTCCGTTCAACCAAAACATTTTCACATACAACAGGGTCACGTACAACCAGATAAAAGCAGATAATTTTTCTTACGATAATTAAACGGCGGGTACCTTTCACTGTTTCATTTGGCTACTTTTGATCTGTTTCAGAACCAGCTGTCTGGAAATCTCCTAAGAAAATTCAAAAACAGCAACGGGTGGCAGAAGCTTTGGGTGGTGTTCACCAACTTCTGTATGTTCTTCTACAAATCGCACCAGGTAACAGACTGCGCGCGCGCGCGTGTGTGGCTGGAGGCGACCTTTTGGTTTTTTCAAAGCAGTAGCAGAGAGAAAAGCGGGCATCGGTGACGGATGCCGTAGGCGCGAGAAGCGGGTGCGCTGGTCACGGCCACGCGGCCTTCGCTGCCGCTGGACCAGGGAGCAGGGCCCGTTCTCAGTCCGCTCGCTCGTCAACTGAAGAGCGCGTGCTCGTTTCCCGAGACTCGCAACAGCCGCAGCGCGTATCGTCCCTAAAAGTACAACAGATATCGCTGCTGCTCGGAAGTTGTGGTGCGAGTTTAAACCAGAGTTTTCTCTTGTACAAATTCGGAGATTATTACAATTAAAAACTTAATAGCGACTTAGAAATTTTGTTAAGCGCAAGTAACGGTAAAGTCAAACGAGAGAACAGCAGCCAACGATTTAATCCATCTGAGCAAACGTCGCAATGCAGAAGCAGGGTTTTCCTGCCTAGAATCTGCTGGGCTTTTGAATCTCTATGTTCAAGCAGGGCGTAAGCACAAAATAATTCCAACTGCTACATTGTGCTTTCATTGCTATAGCAATCCTTAACAATAGAGTCTCTGCACTAAAAAAAAAAAGAAAGGAATGAATTGTAGGATATTCTACACATCAGCGGGATAAAGAAATGATTTGCTCATACGTGCCAGTCCGTGAAGTGAAAGGACTGAAGCGATGGAAGCTGCGGGTGGCCGGTGCATTTCTGAAGGAGCGGGTGTTTGCAAGCCTGGGCTGAACACGCGCGGTGCTCTGCTGACACCAAATGATGGAGTCTTATGTTTGTCAGTTTGAAAATAGCGCAAGTCCAAGATTTCAGACAACTAACTTATGAGGAAGTACTGACGGGTCAGCCTGCAGCAGATCCTTATGAGAAGGGCCTGTAAAGACGGGCGCGCTGAAACTACCAGACAATTAAGATCATTGCCATTGTGTAAAGCTGGCGTTCTTTCCACGCACACGTGGGAACGCGATGATGACCTTTAAATGAGCGCGTATCTGTCTTCCACTTCACTGACGTGCTCTTTTTACTTCAGGGCGTTTGATCTCACAGGATTTTCCATCGTTTCTTTTCAGGACAATCATCCTTTAGCCAGCCTTCCTTTATTGGGGTATTCGCTTACCATTCCTTCCGAATCTGAAAACATTCACAAAGATTATGTGTTCAAGCTACATTTCAAATCCCACGTCTACTACTTCAGGGCTGAAAGCGAATACACATTTGAAAGGTAAGTCCGTCTTCTGTGAGACGGAATCAGGTAAAATTCCAGGATTTTTTTTCCAAACAAGGTTGGTAGATGCAAAGTTTAGTAAATTGGTTCAGTAATACAGACAAGTCGTTCAGCACAACTAGAGAAAGAACCCTTAAAAATTTTAAAAGGAACTTTAAACCTGCTAATGCTAGACCCAAGGCAGTTGGTTTTGATAATGTGGCAGCTGTAATAGGAATCACTACACATCCTGCGTTATGTGCAGGGATTATCCAGTCACACTTGACCAGGCTGGCTGCACGGGGAGCCCAATGTTATCAGGCGTCGGGAAGCACGTCGACAGATGACAGGACTTTTCCGTAGCTGCGCAGAATAACTTCACTCCCTCTAGTACAACTGGATGGAAAATCCACACCTGAAATAAAATTCTGGTTTTATGTATTACTGTGTATTTCTGCCACTTCAGCATGTAATTTTTATGCCTTTCACTGAATTCCAGATACATGGAGAGCCGGGAAAGAGGCACGACTCCTCCTAAATTGTGGTTTGAGGTCGTTCATACTGGGAACTAATTTAGCTCTTTTAGACGAAGCATTAATGTGCCAAAAATCTTAATGTCCTCTCTTATTGAAGAAAGCTATTATTAAGTTTTAGCCATGTCAGTCTAAAACCATAAATAAGGGAAATTGTGGGAAAGAGGTGATTGATTAAATACATGACTAGGAAAAAACACAAAAGCCCGAAGTTCTAGGAAAAAGAGGTAGGAACTGCAGCTAAATTACATTTGTTCGCTCCAGAATTAAGAGTGGTTGGTCTCAGCTGCTCATCACCTGGACCATCCAGGAAAAAAAAAAAAAAAAAAAAAAGAGATTTGGTGCCTGCAGAACAAGTAAAACCACGACTAAGTTCGTTAAATTTGGGTCCCGCCCCCCCGTTTATCCTCTCTGAATCTCTTTTCATCTATGCGTTTGGCAGTCATTTGGACCCAGAGCCTCTTGGCTTGGGATAGACTTCGGAGGAAAAGTAGCAAGCAAGATGCTCCCCTAGGCGCTGAAAATAAACCTGTGTACAGCTAACAGCGCAGACCGCGTCTTTCAAGGCATCTTCCCTTAGGGACTGACCGTCCTTTTGCTTGTGTCTCCCCTCGTGCCCCCCGCAGGTGGATGGAAGTGATCCGAAGTGCCACCAGCTCTGCCGCACGCACGCGAGCTCTGAGCCACAAAGAGCCTCACGCCTATTGACGGCCGAAGAAGCCGCCCTGGTGATTGTCCGGCAGCTGCTGATTTTCTAGAGGACGTTTGAAACTCTCTTCTCCCTCCAAGTTTAGTAAAACGGACGATTTGGTAAAAGAAAAGAAAAACAATCAGTACGGTTTTGCAGAAACTGTCACAATTCCTCAGCAAAACTCTTTCAGTTCTCCATGTGTTCAGACTAGCTTACCATCATCCCAGTGGCTGCGGTTTGTTTCATGTCTTGTATTTTGTCATTCTGTGCTGTTTTTAGCTTGTGCCAGTATTAAAATATTGTCCTTATTAGAGTGCCAAATGCCAAAAGACATTTTGTTGCCTCAAAGATTGCACCTAAAAAAAAAAAAAAAAAGACGACTTCACAATCTGAAAACTTTCTCCTCTGAGGCAAACACTATTTCTTCTCTTTTCATAAAAATATATATATATTTTTTTTTTACCATGTTAATCTGTAGACTGCTGGATTTTTAAATGTAGATGGACTTTCACAGTATAGAATATAATTATATATACAGCAAGTAGTCTAACAGGAATGAGATAACTTTCAGACTTCAATTTTTCCCCAGTCTTTCTACATTTAATCAGCAAGGAATTACTAATTTTCTATCTTTAACAAGGAAACAGTTTACAGCTCGTTCTCATCTCCTTTTGGGGTTACAAATCCACATGGTATAAATAAAGTATAGGATCCTTATCTAACGATGTTCCTGGTGCAAGTTGACCAAATTGTTCATCTGTTGGCTTTGAAAAGTGAATACTACTTGCAAGATGCAAAATTTTTAAAATAATCCAGTGCAATATTATTTGGGCTGTTAATGTACTGTGAATGGTATGTACAAGAAGAAATTAAAGGCTGTGGTGACATTCCGCTGTTTGCTTTACAAACTAACTTGAAAGAAAACGGGTACGCTAGGAGAGCCGCAGCTGCGTGCGATGGAGCCGTAGGGTGTTGCGGTTCCGCACGCCGGGCCCGCATCCGTCACCGCCACGGGCCTCGGGGGAAACACAGCGCTAGGCAGAGGGGGCCCGAATCGAGATGTGGGGAACGAAGGCGGGACAATTGCACCCCCACTTTTTCTTCGTCTAGCTGTTCGCTTTGTCAGTGGCTTACCTGGGTGCGGTGTATAAAACAACGGCTCCCAGCTTTGCTCACAACAAAAGGGAATAAAATACCTCACAACGCTGTCATACCGATTCCTGTTTCAAGGCAGTAAAGCCTGCTTTCTGTCCCCCTGCCCCGCTACGCGTCTCCACCCGAGAACAGGGTGGGCTCCCAAGGAGAAGCAGCAGTCCCTGTGGCCAAACCCCAGGCTCCCTGAGGAAGGGACGCAAGGATTTCGTGTACCTCCTTCAGCTGCCTGGAAACCCGCAAACCCCCCGGGCAGGTAACTTGTTGCAAGTGCTCTTTTCCTTACCTCTTTCCCCTGCGTATCAGTACAGGTATCATCACATCTACCCTACAGCAGCGCCTCTGTCTGTTCATGACGTGATGAAGGACAAGCTTAGAGAACAGGTAATTATGGGTGTGCAGATAGACGACTCCGGTGGCTGGAGCGCACACACACACACACACATCCCCTCCTCCCCCAGGGGCACGGGAAAAGGGGTAGAAAAAATAAAACGGGCAGTGTGGCACACGTACGGTTTTTCACAGGAGAAAGAGAGCAATGAAATCGAATTACAGGAGCGCAGCTGTCCCACAGTTCGTCCCCGGGTTATGTGGGGAATCGGGGTGAAGCTGACGCACCTTGACGTGAGCACTCGGGTCGGCTGGGCTGGGCTGGCAGGGTGGGCAATACAAAGCAGGTCTTAAATCCCTGCCATCTGTAAACTGGCACATTGCCCTACTGAGGGACAAACTGTAATACAGCGCTGCACATATGTAACCAAAACAGCACGCTAGCGATCACGCGTGTGTGTAGACCAAAAAAAACAAAAAACCAACAACCCTTAAGAACCGAACTTCCCCCACGGCTGGGCCATCTGTGCGATGTAAGCTTCCTAGGTGCCCCAACAGAAAAAAATATTCTCAACATTCTTGCTCAGAAAGTGGTGTTTGAGTTTAAACAAGAGCTGTGAGGACAGGTTGTGAGATTATTGCAGTGAAAACCTGAACACCGGTTTCGAAACCCTCCTTACCGTTATGGGCGCATGGGCAGTAGCTGAGCGAGACACCCGCAAGAGCATCCCCTCCTGGGAGGGGACCCCCCGCTCTCCTCTCACTGACCACGCGGACGGCAACATTTCAGTAAACTTTTCCTCCTTTATTTCTTCTAGGTCACGTAGTTTACAAGGAGTTTTATTACGTCGGTGTAGAGTGACAAAGGTAAAATTTAAATACACGGTTATAAACAGGCAGCAATATTACAGAAAACAAGATACACACTTTAATTGTCCTCTGTAATCATGCTTCAAAAGAAGGCAGAAAACCATTAGATAGATACAATTTGTCTGCCGCATATGCTCAGTGCAATTACTAGCACATCTGCAAAATACAGTTAAAAAGAGCAAGCTTGCAGATTTGTGCTATACGTTAAGCTCCTCCCCAGCAACTTACAAAAATAATTTGCAATTGTGCCCATCCTCGCGTTCCACCTGGGCTTACCAGCGCTTCTGATAATCTTCCAACGGTGACGTTTTTGAAGGCAAATATACGTTTCCTTGAAAGTAAGGCTCATGTAAAACTTACTTACAAACTGGTACCGTGGTGTTCAAAAAAAATAATACGGCACGCCGCACAAAGCAGCACGAGGCCAACGAGACACTGCACCGGTACGGCCGAAGCACAGGCAGGCGAAGGCGTTACGGTGGGTAAAGCAGGGCGGGAGCTCACACCGGGCCGGCTGCTCTGCAGGCGAGGGCCAAGGCGCCCAGGCTCACCTCCCCCTCGGCCCACCCCCCCTACGCCCCCCTTTACGGCATTCCCCGGTCACTGCTTCATCTGGCCGGACCCGCGCGGGCCCGTGCAAACCGTGCGGAGCTGCAAAGGAACCACGGCGCTTCGGCGAAAGAGCTGCTTTGTTACCACACCGAAAGCATCCCGTACTACGGTGATCAAGCCGTCGTCCTTTAGGGAACTGGTGATCAACTACAAAGTGCAACTGCAAGGAAAATGGAGTTAAAAAAATAGATTACACGTCTGACGTACTTACAAAAAGCAAGCCTTCAGTTCAAATGACTGATTCTTTTTAAACAGTGAGTTTATTTACTGCCTAATCTTGAAATCCCTGACAAAGAAGCAGTTCCACTAATTTAAATGTTTGCATAAATAGGGATAGCTTGTCGCTTAGTATATTCAAGACTAAGTGAAGAAGTACTACCTGCACAGAAAACTCATCAGTGCAACGTTATAACACAGAAATGTTTTTAGCATGAAACAACCTCTCAAAAATATCAATAACACTTCTTTCAGGCCACGCTTCTTCCAAATGAAGCTGCTCTTCTGTTACCGATACAGTTCCCATTTTTAAAGCATCGATACTTTTCAATAGCAAATGATTGTAAGTTTACATTCAAGATACAACACGCTTTCTTTCAGTGAAGCTCAGTTTAAGATACAGCCTATATTTAAATAATCTATATATTACATACAAAAATACACATCTCTACCATAAATGAGGTCTTGTCTTTCTCTACACGTCCTAGCCTTTTGGCCAATTGCCCTTGCTGTAGGGGCGACTCCTCTGAAGCTCCTAAACCAAGGGACACGTTCACCAAGCAACGCCTGCCGCGATCTGCTCGGAGAAATATTTCCTCAACATACAGTCCCGGAACGCAGCTAAAAAAAACGTACGCGTAACTTTTTAAATGATTGTTCAAAACCAGCGTACCTCACACTTTCATTTAATTTTCTGATTGAGAAATTCTTGAGATTCCAGCCAGCACCGTAAAGTTCACTTCCCCACTAAATCCGAGTTCTGCGCATCTCCGAGTAAGCTCGCTTTAATTTCAAGCCCTGACGTTAACAGACGACTGGGGAAAAGCTTCCATGAATCTATTTACGTTTCAAATGCAAATGTCTGATTATTTCCACATGCTGTAACAGCACACAGTTACTGAATGGCCGAGTGCTCCCATCCTGGGATGCCAACAGGTGGCTTTCCCACTGCACCGCATTCAGACCCACATTTCACAATAGCAGAGCTGAATTTGTTTCTTCAAGGGTAAGCCTATCCTTGATGTTTAACGGCACACAAAACAACATTTTTCAAGATATTGATCAATTAGTTAACGGTTATAAACCATTGCTCAGACTTACGCACTGTTCAATTTACCTTAAGTTCACTTAGCCACCAAGGAACACCATTACCTCGTGCTGGCAAATGCGTCACGTCTAAGAATATGGCTACAAGCACGAGCGCACGGATACCCATTTCTTTCAACTGTTGTTTCCATCTGGTCAGAATTTCCACAGCTCTGTTAGCATGACAGTGTCCTCCAGCTGTTACATTATTAAATTAACAATTAAGGCTATTAATATGCATAGAATAAGGGCTGCCGTGGTGATGTGGAGTCCTGCAAGGAGACCTCGCCAGCTTCCGGAACGGTTAGAGAACCCGGGTCTTTTTGTACCAAGTGGGTCAGATATGCCTACGCTTCTAAAATTTTAATCCTTCCTGTTCCAAAACTCACCTCTATGTTAAAACCAAACAAACCACAAACCAAAAAACAACAAGTAAGTTTTACCTCACTGTCATCCAAAACATAAAATCATCAAATTCTTCATTAAAACAAGGCAAAAATGCTCTCTCAGCTACCAGAATTAGAAGCGGCTGAATATACCCCTGGTGAAACAAACCGAGGTAAACCTCGGAGTACTACTGTGAAAACAAATTCCACCTGCAGTAACCAGCGTGACTGCTGCCGAGAACTGTAAAACCGTAAGCCAGCTAGCTAGGAGCGCTCCCAGGAACAGTGGAAATTTCAGAATTCAGAATTTTCAAGAAGTAACTTCTTTCTGGGGAGACGAAGCAATAGGACATGGCATACAACGATGCTCGGTTCTGCAGTCTTTCTGTCTAACGTCTACCACTTTCGGTGAAGAGATGCACAGATTTAGACAGCAGGACCGAATACTGAACATATGAACAATTTTTCTTTTACGCTGCAAGACATTCTTTTTAATGATAAAAATAGGCATGACGAAGAAATATCTGCCACCGTCTCAGAGCCAACATCTTAATGAGATATTTCAGAAGAAATGTAGATAATAAAAATTTATTTGTGTGAGCATTCAAACATGTTCAGGTGAAAAAAGATTGTATCTGAATTTCACTACAAGCTTCACAAATACCTATTACTAAAATGGAACAATACATAGGGTTCAGAATTTGCATTGGCACAATTTAAAACTGAAAACATGAAAGAGCTCGTTCTTTAGGAAAAACAATAATTTAAATTGAAAGCTTTGAGAGCCGAGGTGTATTAAATTTAAAACAACCAGAAGTAGTACCATAATTAGAAAGTCACGCTCAGAATATAGATAAAAAGGAAGAAATACCGGAGAAACAGAATGAAATTGTGTCTTTGCTGAGGTACGAATAGAAGGTTCCATAGTACAGGATTAACTCTTTCAATGGCAAATCCTTCACGTACAAAAATCGAACCAAGATTCACTTCTCACATAATTCAAAATGTACATGTAATAAAGGCAAGGCAATACTCAGTTATGGCCTGTCAAATATTTACCCCACTAACGTTATCTACAGAAGCACTTTACCATTTTGTACACAGTGATTCCTTACGCACGTTGAAAGGCTTTCAGTTAAAAAAGACGTTATATACATAGCTGTACACAGTTCCAACAAACATACTCCATCTCCCAGTGGAATTCTTAAAGCAAGATACCTGAGGTTTCTCAATGT